AGCCCTACCCCTCGAAACTGCGAGGTCTCCAAGACACAATCTTAATGTGGAGTTGTTGCAAGATCTGTGGTAATGAGACTCAGGTCTTTCCGATGTCGGAAAGTACTTGGAAATACTCATTTGGGAAGTATTTGGAACTCTCCTTCTGGAGCAAGAACCTCCATGCTCGAGCGGGCGTTTGCCCTCATGACTTACAGCGTGACCACCTTCGCTTTTTTGGCTTCAAAGACGTTGCTATACGAATCCACTACGACAGCATCAACTTGCTTGAGATAATTGTTCCTAGAACTCGGGTTACATGGAAAGTGGACAATGACTTGAAACTCAGAAATGAGGTGTATCAGCGAATGGAGCATCGCATCACCCGGTTCATGGTTTCAGTCAAGGCGCGGCTGAAGGGGATCAGTGTTGAGAGTGTTATCCCTAAGCAAGCCGAAGATTGCAAAACACAGATAGAGCATCTGAGTAAGAAGGCCAACGAGGATCACATCCTCTTGATCAAACAGCTACAGGAAAAATACACCAACTCGCGATACTGGGAAGTAATCCCTCTCAATGAAGTGCTCCGCTCCGTTCAGGAGAAAGTCGTCGAATGGGATGCTGCCTTCGCTGAATTTGAGAAGAATTTCTTCCCCTCGGAAAAAGATATCAAACGATTGGCTACTCTGCAGCTGAAGAAAATCTTCCTGGACAAGGATGTTTCGGTGATCCCCGAAGAGCCTCCTACCACACCAAATGAGGCCGACAATGAAATCATCGAAATGCCGGAGCGGATGCGACTAACGCGCCGTATGACCCTTTCCCCGGAGAAGGCCCAGGATGTCCTAGTATCTGTTGTCGAAGAGCATTCGGGGGAGAAAGATGTTGCAGGAAGCCAGGAGAGTGATGCCATCAAGTCCGATGATGTCGGCTCTGCAACTCTCTCTTCCAGTTCAGGGAGCTCGCAGTTTTCACCCCCGCAGGCTGAGATTGCGGCCGAGAAAGAGGTGCAGCATCTGGATCTCGCAACACCTTTGAATCACTCTGAGCATCCGGTCCTAGCCCCGCCCACCACGAAGGCAATAGACAGTCAGGAGCCCCGGGAGCCCTCGGAGCCACTGGAGCCATCAGAGCCAAAGGCTACCCCTACTGATTCTGATGTGAACCCGACGGAACCCCCTCCTGAGGAGCCAAGTGTTCGTCAGAGAAAGAAAAGCGATGAAATTGAAAGAACCGCAACTCCAAGTCGTTTCCCATCGGCTATTCCCCGACTTGCCGAAGCTACTTTGCGACGCAGTGGAAAGTCTACATCTCCACCATTATTTCGGGCTCAAACGCAACCTGCTCCTTTCCACAGGGACCTCGGAAATGATACAACCCCAATAAAGGGCATGAAAATCGCCTTTGGCAGATTGACACCGTCTGATGGAGCTCCAAGTCCTCCGCTGGACTCCAGGTCAAGGTCTTCGGACAACAAGAAGCTCTCGGAACGTTTCAATTTGGCCCTCCGAAGTGGAAGGATGACACCAGGCTCATCTCTCATACCGCGTTCTATCCCGACCCGAAAGAATACCCGAGTCTCGAACCTGGCTAAACACTTCGAACAGTTGAGCCGTGAGTTTGAAAAGGAACGGCAACGAGAAAGAGCGCGACGAGCTGCCAAAGGTACTCATTCTCGCGCAATCCCAATAGCTTCCTCGAAACCAATCGTCGAGGTATACAAGAATGTCAGGGAAGCAGTTGAAGAACGGGAGCCTTCTGGCGAAGGGGAAGATTTCATACCCCCAGCATCACGCGTCCCGCCGGACCAGTCAGGCAGAAACAGCGAAGATATGCCGAGGCGGGATTCTGAGGAAGAGAGCAGGCAGGAGGATATTTCACAGGAACCTTCTGCAGCTAAGGAAGAAAAGGAGGGTGCTAGCCCGGAGGACGAACATGTCTTATCTGAGGTCGAAGGTGAGGAACACAGTGATGAAGACCGAGACGACCTGCAAAGACTAGACTCGAATGATGAGTTGAAGATGTCGCCTGAAGACGAGTCGATGGACCTGAAAGAGTTCCCCAAGCATGAGAGGAGTACGCTATTGAAGCTGCTGACCAACTTCTGGTCAGAGCGTTCTGCCAGCGGTTGGGCACCTCTAGATTATCCGCTTACCATGTCCGATCACGTTTTTGCGGATTGCGACATAATCGTGCGGGAGGACGAACCAAGCTCCCTGATCGCGTTCGCGCTGGACTCCAGCGACTACAAGGAGAAATTAGAAGCCATCCAAAGGCGCTACGAAGAGCCTGACGAGAAGGACACGTATGAAGAGGATGGCAACGATGCTTTGGACGAGACCCGGGTCGAACATGCACTCTTGAGGTCGACAGGTACACATCTGAAGTATCAATTCCAGGAAGGTCAAGCGAAAATGCTGTGCAAGGTATTTTATGCGGAGCAGTTTGATGCCTTACGGAAGAAATGTGGAGTCGCAGAGCGGATTGTAGAATCGCTCTCTCGATGTGCCAAATGGGACTCCAAGGGAGGAAAGACCAAATCCCTATTCTTGAAGACTCTGGACGATCGCTTCATTCTCAAATCGCTGTCGCCCATTGAAACACAGGCATTCCTGAAATTCGCCCCAGCGTATTTTCAGATTATGTCCGAGGCACTGTTCCATGAGCTGCCGTCTGCAATTGCGAAGATGTTTGGTTTCTACCAAGTGATCATCAAGAACCCCGCTACCGGGACAGAGTTTAACTGGTTCCTCCTGTTGATGGAGAACTTGTTCTACGATCGTGTTCCTACTCGGATTTTCGATTTGAAGGGCTCCATGCGGAATCGCAAAGTCCAGAGTACGGGAGAACGCAACGAGGTTTTGCTAGATGAGAACATGGTGGACTTCATCTACGAAACACCGTTATTTGCGCGGGAGCACTCAAAGAAGCTTCTGAGCCAGAGCGTCTGGAATGATACTCTATTCCTGGGGCGCCAAAACGTGATGGATTACTCGCTTATGATCGCTATCGACGAGAGTCGTTCAGAGCTAGTGGTTGGCGTGATCGATTGCATCCGCACATACACCTGGGATAAGAAACTAGAATCCTGGATCAAAGATCGTGGATTCGCTGGTGGTGGAAAGAACAGACCTACCGTCACCAGTCCGAAGGAGTACAAGAGTCGATTTAGGGAGGCGATGGCGCGATACGTGCTCCAGGCCCCAAGGTATGTTTCTGAAACCTCACAGTCTCAAAATCGCAGCATTTACTGACATGGCCATAAGCTGTTGGCACCAATTCCAAAATTCCCAGCTTTACAGATACGCCCCAGTCGAACATTACCCGAGCCAGAGTTATGCCGCCGCGGACGCTGATGCCCTCGAGGAGATAGCAAGTTGAGCGAATCAGTTCCCCCGCGGACTGTTCTGTACTGATTAAGACCCTCATGACGGATATGACTTGACGAACACGACATGATGTACCAAAAATTCCCACTTCCAGTTCATTCATTGATGCTACATTTGCACTTGGCGTGTCGATCCAACTTTTGTGTACGGTCTTTGAGCGGTAATTTTCTTTTCTATTACTTTTGCTGTTTTCTCCTCGTTCCACAAGCATTCCTTCATTTTAATGAGTGTACGAGACCACACCACACCACCACCACCACCTAGACTAGGACTTACCATAATACCACACACCCAACCATAATGACCATCATGATAACACAAGCATAATAAAACAGCAATCCGAATACCCTTCCCTACCTAGAATCCCATATTGAGAAAATAGATTAAAAAGATTACCCGAAGTAGTAAAACATAGTAGTAATCCTTTTTCCGGAAGAACCCCGCGAGTGTCACACATCCCGAACACACCATCGGCTGAATTCGGGACGCTCGGGTTACCACTCGGGAATCTGATTTGCTGCTCCGCGGTTTTAGTTCTCCTTCAATTCAGTTTTGGGCAATTCGCATTTCCCACACCGTCGCGTGCGCGGATTTTCTTTCTTTCTCTTTTTCTTTTTCGTGTGGCTCCTCTTTTTTCTTCTCTCCTCTTATTCCCCTTCTTCTTGCTTTTTTGTGTGTTTGTCAATTTGTTGACTGATTGCTCTCTCTCTATTGCTCCCAGACCGGGGTGTAAAAGGGCTATCGGGATAACCCAGCCTTATGCTCCGCGCTGCGCTGCGCTACGACGAACTCACTATTTACCATGACTAACTGATTTACTGCCAGTGGCTGCTGCTACTAGTTTACCACTCACGAGCTATGGGCTGGATTTCAAATGTGAAAGATTGACAAATGCCTTGCTTGCTTGCCTCGGTTGGGGGGGCTTCTTGTTCCGTTCCCCCGCACGAGAGAGGAGGACTCGATTCGAGGGGCTTTCCTCTCTCACTCTCGCGCCCTCTCTCTCTCTTCTTTTCTCTTTTGATTTACTACTCAGCTTATTCTCTTCCTTCTGCAACTGTCTTCTTGACTGTTGATTGTTTACAAAACTACGTCCGATTCATGTCTTCGGACATGCCGTTTATGGCTTACATCGCTGCGATTCGTTACCGACGAATGTTAACTCTTTTGCTCGACGAATGATGGATTCTCAAGTGATCCGGGTTGCATTTCCACTAACAAATCATACTGACTGACACTCAGGATGCTTACTTTGTTGAAGACATGAGAACAACTTATTAAATTCTAGCTTTTGATCGCAGCAAAGTCCACCAAACATGGCTGGCTAACTAACGTCAAATCAAAATACATACACATTACGTTCCCAAGGTGTGTGTCTTCCCCCAGCGCATTTCGGGTTCAAAGTGAATGTGGTGGTAGACGCAAGTGCGCACTCCTGGTGCTCCTCGTCCTGCCCCGACTAACGAGTCTCGCAGTGAAGACACAAGCAGTCTACCGCGGGCAGACTACCTGGGTCGTCGCATGGCGGCGAGACCGGTCTACGATATCCAGAGACACACCCTTGACGCTTTCTATCCAATCGCTGTCGTTACCGTGTCATCCACCAACCGGTGGCATGCCAGACTGCTTTTGCATTTACTCAGCCAGGCCAAGGTTCTCCTCAGCAGGGACCACACGGACGGTGTTGGTGTGGCCCATACCGCCGCGCCATCCCTGGACACAGACAATGTTGTCACCCTTGTTGATGATGCCGAGCTTGAGGGCGTGGTTGATACCCCACTTGAGACGGCGGTCAACATCCTCCTGCCAGACCTTGACGTTGAAGTCGGGCTTCTTCTCGGGGAAGAGGAAGGGCCAGACACCACGGTACAGGTGAGAGTACTGGATTCAACACGTTAGCATACGACTCTCGAAACGACACTAGCTTCTCGACTTACCCGGGAGGCAGCGGGGTTACGGGTGACCATGACAATGGGGCACACGGGGCGGTACTTGGAAAGGTAGCGAGCAGTTTTACCGCTACAGATCTGTCAGCACTCATCCTACCCGACTGGATATATCCAATTGGAAGCGTCGCTACATACCTGGTAGTCAAGACGACAATGGCACCAGCGTTGAGTTCCAGACTGGCGCTAACGGCAGCCATGGCGATGGACTCGACAGTGTCGGTGGGGCGGGGAGCAAGGTTGCGGAGCTCATCGAACACGTTGAAGTGAGGGATGGCGACCTCGGCGAGCAGGCAGGTCTCGGACATCATCTTGACGGCCTCGTTGGGGTAGTTACCCTTGGCGGTCTCACCCGACAGCATGACACAGTCGGCACCGTCAAGGACGGCGTTGGCAACATCGGACACCTCGGCACGAGTGGGACGAGGGTTGTATGTCATGGACTCGAGCATCTGAGTGGCACAGATGACGGGCTTACCCTTGATGTTACACTTGGCGATCATCATCTTCTGGGCGATGAAGACCTTGGGGGCGGGGATCTCGATACCAAGGTCACCACGGGCAACCATGACACCGTCAGTCTCCTCGAGGATCTCGTCGAAGTTGTTGACACCCTGCTGGTTCTCAATCTTGGCAATGATCTGGATCTCCTTGCCCTCCTCACCCAGAACCTCACGGATGTGGCGGATGTCGCTACCGCGGCGGATGAAAGAAGCGAAGACCATGTCGACCTTGTTCTTAACACCGAACTTGAGATCGGCAATGTCCTTCTCGGAAAGGGCGGGGAGGTCAACGTCAGTGCCGGGCAAGTTAACACCCTTGCGGGAAGAGATGTTGCCGTTGTTCAAGCAGCGGACGCGGATAGTCTTGTCGTCTACGACTTCGATGACCTCGAAGGAAAGGATACCGTCATCAACATAGATGAGCTTGCCAGGAGAGATCACCTTGGTGATGTTCTTGTAGTCGAGGTACCTACAAGACGACTGGTTAGCGGAGTCCGTGCACAGACAAGTCTGGGCTGGTCTCCCGATCCACTTGCAGTGGTCGGAAGAACACGGGGAGGAGCCTTACATGTTCTTGTCGTCGGAGGCGGTGGCATATTGATCATCGGTGGTGATGTTGAGCTCATGGCCCTGCTTGATAGGGATATCCTTATCATCGGGGGTGTTTCCGGTACGGATCTCGGGACCTTTCTACGGAGGAGTCAATTTGGGGATCGCGACCGGCCAAGGGACCGGAGAACTTACGGTATCGAGAGCAATGGCGAGAGGACGTCCGACCTGGGTCTTGGCGGCCTCACGGGCGTTGTCGATAACAGATTGGTGGTACTGTGGCGGGTCAACATACTGTCATGTGCCAATGCACGGATGGGGACCGTTCTTACCTCATAGGAACCGTGGGAGAAGTTCATGCGAACAACGTTAAGACCGGCTGCAAGCTAGTCAGCTGATTGATACCTTCCAGAGTGAATAGGTTTTATCGGTCGTACCAGTGCGGAGAGAGTTGATCTTCTCCACGGAGTTGGTCTTGGGGCCTAAAGAAAAATCGGAGGTTAGCTTGGATGAGGTCAAGTGCGGGGTGCGAGGTCTTCATGAAGAGATGACAATCGCGACGACACAACTGGCAGGAACATACCGATGGTGCCGATGATGGAGGTGCGGCGGAAGTTCTTGGAGGGCACCATCTCAGTGTTGAGCTTGGAGTGCCACTCCAACTTCATGCGGTTGCTCAGGTGGTCGAGGGAAGAGCTGGCGGCCATCTTGACGGATGATTGATCTCTACTGAACTAACAGGAAAGACAGAAGAGAAAGGGATTGATGGAAGATGGGAAGAGAGAATGGAGAGAGAAAGAAGAGAGGAAGAGGAGAAGAGGGAGAGATAATAGGGAAGGAAAAGACGGGGCCGGTGAGCGAGAGAAGAGAGAGATGGTGGACTAGAGGAGGGGTGCCCGGGAAGGAAAAATGTTGGCGGCGGTGATTGGCTGGATCGGCCCTTTTTGGTGGGATTCCTGCTTTGGGACACTTTTTTCTGTCGGTCGGTTCCCCGCGGGTTGAGAGAGCCAGAGCAATCAGTAGTACTTACTCCGTACTTAGTTTAGTTGTGCCTCCTGCTACGGAGTAGTTACAATCACACTTCTCATCGCCTGCCTAATTCCCATTATTAATGACTTTTTCCCTCCCCGGCACTATCGCTGGGTATCAAAACTCAATAATTTGCTTCGTGATCCACCTTTCACTGCTTTTGCTTCTATTCTTTGATCGGTAGATACACCCTGCTGCCTCTGTCCGCGCTTTTCACTGGTCAGCCAAGGGTTTCCGCCCAGCGATCAGCAGCAGCTTTTGTCCACTTCATCCTCAGGCACCTGCTTCCGCGCATCTCAGGCATTCATACGCCGCATGCAATATTAATTGGTTGGGAAGATCCAAAAGCAATTCAAGCCCAAGCCACAATCTGGCAGATACACCCACACAACATTCCCCTACTATCTATCTATTTATCTATCTACTACTACTAACTTTGTCAAAAGTAGAAATCTGGCAGGACCACATGATCCCCCTTCCTCACTGTCCAGTTGACCCCACATGGTCGCGGATCCATCCTCTCCTAGCGAGGTGGATTTTTGATGTCTTTGTCGGTGCTGAATTTTCTCTCCCTCGCATAAAAGCGCCCAATTTCCCCTTTCCCTTCGCAAGAACTATTTCCCTGACTCCATCGGAATCCATAAGGCTGAATTTTGCTCTGCTCGGATGGACCCAGTTGCCAGTTATGGAGAAGCTGTCTCTTTTTTTTTACTTGCTCTTTTGTGGGTAAGCAATTTTACTTAAGGTAGTAAGTAATTTACTCGGAGGTTTTCTCTTCCTGTTGGAGGTTCTTAACTCCGAAGGCGTGCCGATGCCTTTACTTGGAGATAATTATTGTTAGTTGGATTAGGATGGGAGATAGTAGTAGCAGCAGCTGAACCACATATATCCGAACTGAAGCTTGGTAGTTATCTTGGCCTATTATGCTCAATATAATTATGTAAGTCGGTCATATGAAACATCCATGGTCGTTGCATTGATATTCATATTTTCTGTGATTGGACACCCCCAAGGTAGACAGCAAATTGTAAAAAGGTTCTCACTCAGTACTTACATCACCCATACCCTCACCACCACCCCACAAGTACCTTCTACCTACGAAATATATGAATTACGAATCCCGATCTACACCTACTTACTTAGCACCTGATTCTATCACCACAATCACCCCGTCCCGACTCAGCCCCCGGTGAATGAATGCTATGGATAATCTGCAATATGCATGCTAGGCCATTCCACTCCGTAACTACAAAGCCCGCCGTCGGCTCGGCACACTTCCTCTTCCAAGGATAACTAACTATACTTAGCACAGATACATACTTAATATGATATTAGTCTGCAGAGCCAAGCCCCGGTTATCTTCATTCATTCCCCTTCTCGGTAGTGTTTCATCCTGCATCCACCCGCTCAGCTACTATTTACAAAGTACTGCCGACTTGGCGGTGATGTGATTGCGTACTCTCTACGGAGTGAGTTTGTTTGGTTTTGTTTAGATTGGTTTCGGACTTCGGAGAATGAATGAATTAATGCATGCTGATCTACTTAGTATTGATGTTTGTTTGCTCAGATTTGCTTTTTGGGTTGAGTTGGTTTAGTTGTTGGGATAGGATACTGAATGGGAGTGTGGGTAGTATATATGATCCATCCTATCTCTAAATTCATTCCGGAGTACGTAGTACTATTTATAAATGGTAGAATACTCCATACTTAAGTAGTAGATAGGCAGGCACTGCCCCTCCATACTTTACCCTCTACTATGAGCAGCGCACCACAAACAAGTGGTCGCTCGGCTCGGCTAGACAACTTACTAACCAGCTAGCTAGCTAGCTGTCCACCTCACTAACCACACCAGCCACTCCCTCAAACCCAGCCACCCAATTGACCCATGACCACCAGCCCAGCCTCGCTCACCGCCTCGCACCAATCAGTCGCCCACGTCATGTGAAAGCCACGTGAACTGGATGACTTCCTCCGTGGGGTGACCTGATACCTACCTACCTACCTATCTTTCTTTTTCTCTCTATTGCCCACTCACAAAGAATAATCCCACGCTCATAGCCTTCACTATCCCTATTGATACAATCCGCTGCTGCGAAGCACTCAACCTGTCAGATTATCATTCCCAAAACTTCCTGTCATCATGGTATGTCACAGACCCAAACTCGACCGGACCGGATATGGATGGATAGGGAATAAGAAGAACTGGGATGGGATGGGATATACTAATATTCATTGGTGAATTCAGCTCGGACGTCTCAGCCACTACGCATTCGATGCGGTTCTGAGTATGTACACCCTTATCCTATCTTCTCTTGTTGTTAAGTTGGGTTTGAGTTAGTCGCTGACCTATTTCCCCATCTAGTCTCTGCCTTCCTGGCTGGCGTGAAGCGCTCGACTGGATTAACGTAAATTCTACACCTCATTCCTCTTTTTTTATTTTTCGATCACTGCGCTATCTTATCCACCCTATTTGTGACGGCCAGTAAGCTAATCAGTTCATCCCGCGCACATCCCCCAAACCCTGGGGGCATCGCGTGGGGTCTTTCACAGCCCCAGTCTCAACTCCGACAAAATCACCGATAACAAGGACTTCAAGAAGTGGATCGATAACTACCTGGGTGTTGGCGAGTGGGTGATGGATCAGTCTGTGGCTGTGTTGGGGTCGACGAGCTACTTCGAGCGCAAGCGGTAGATTTATCACTGCTACTGATACTTCTTAACTACCGATCACATCGCTTTTCCTGTGTCGGGGTCGCCGGTCGGCTTACGAATGGGTTGAATGGATCCCTGGTGGGGTGGGCATCTATGTGTGATTTGCCTGGGTTGGGCGAGTACACTACTATGTGAGGCTGGGGGTTTCTGGCTGGAGGAGAGATTGCGATATAAGGCAAGAAAGGGATTAAAGGGTATGAACCCCGTCGCGGTTGAGGGTATGGCTGCGATGGGTTGTTGCTCACGATTGATGATGGCATTTCGGCTCGTGTTCGAGTAGCGCAAGTCATGGCGTTGGGTATTTTGCGTTGACTGTATACCTTGATCCATGCTCCAATGGCAGCTCCCTTTGGAGCATTTGCATCTCTTCTCGATATGCCTGTCTGTACATAGGTTCCCTGTTGAGGGATAACTCATCTGTATCTCTGTTCTCCGCTGTTTAGCTAACAACGGCCATGCTGTGACCGGACTACCCATCCAGGTTGCTTCCGGTATTTTCCTATCCACCAGTACAGTCACCGTGTGCAGGTCACTGACTAGCCTTGGATTAATACAAGAGTATCCATTCTCAGGAGTCCAGTTCATTTCAATGTGGTAACCTCCGCAGGACCCGCCATTGGACCGCGAGTGTGGTCTCGCAATAACAGATGCGCCCAGAGTGAAAGATTGATTGTCCCATGCAAGCCTGTGCGGGTCTATCATAGCACGTATGTGCTCGCTAACATGATTAACATCAAGAGCGTCCACGCATGTAAAAGCCTAATCGCCAAAAAAGAGCCAGGGTATGTTCTGGAAGCACCGTAGGGTATTAAATGAGTGACGTGATTCGTTCAATCGTAACTTTCGTACTATGTAATCATCGAACCTATGTCCGGAGTAATGCATCGATGTCCAGACGACGGTAATAGGAGATATGGCCCATGGTTTCCCAATAGTGTGCTACGCACTCTGACGAAATCAGAATAAGTTGGGACGAAATAAACGTATCTAAGAGGAATATTAGCATGCATAGCGAAAAGCTGGGCATTTTCAAATCAAACTTACCATCTCTGAAACCGAGGCCCGCTACATGACCTTTGCTCCGTACTATACGTGCTCCCTGGAAGAGAGCTTCCTCGGCAATGCGGACGAATCCTCCGGGGCCAATGTCATCTGCTGAGAAAGATATCTCGCCACGAGGGACGTTAGGGTCTCCAGTGAGCTTGATGGCCTCAAGGCTGCATCGCTCTTCTCCGTGATCACGTTGTAGGAAAAGCAGAAATTCGCATCCATGTGCCGAGTAGTCTCCAACCCAGATGCCTTGGTATGGTTTCTTGTCTGTAGGCGTATACAGCTCGGGGTCAAGTGTAGCATAAGTCGACAGCGTCTCGCTCCGCCCAGCGGTGAAGATCGGCATACCCAATCGGAAGTGTGCCCATCTTCTAATTCGAAACGCATGCTCGGAAATTTTGTCTAGCTGTGGGGGTTGGTGTTCCCACTCCGGATCAACTTCACCACGATAGACGCGGTGTTTAGTTGGTATTGTTTTAGGAGGCCATTGTTGGTTTGCCACAAGATCAGATGTTATTCGGGCGGAGCAGAGCGAGAATGAGTTGAAGACATGCTGCGTCTCGAGAGGCATAGGCATGCGGGTCTCACCGCGCAAATATAACGGCCGTCCCTCGTGATGGTTTTTCAGGAGCAAGACTGGATCATCTAACCAAAGACTGACCTTAGGATTGAACGTTTGGATTATAACATCTGGATTCCAGTCCCAGAGTTGGAACTGGTGCGAGCGACGTTCTGCGATAACCCGGTAAGCCTCTATGACACCCCGTCGGTGATCGTAACGGGCGAGGATCAAATTTCCCGTGTGCTCGGTGTCCGCAAACCAGATCTTGTTGCGAGGAATGAACCAACAGGGATGATGGGCGATGTAGAGACTGCGAAAGGAGTCAAAGACACCTGTTGTGTGTATGGGTTCGGG